ATAATAAAATATTTTTTTAAAAAAGAACTTTCCCCAACAACACGAGGCACCAGGAGAGTTCTGTACCTACTCGACGCACCAGAGGATCTGAGCTCTTGAGACTCCCCACAATCAGCTCAGTCACCTGCTCTATGGGGCATCTCACCTGCCTGAGCAGGAGCCATTTTGGTATGTGCTGTGGTGGGAATTGTTTTTTTGTCTTTCTGAAACAGGGTCTCCCTGTGGCCCCAGCTGTCCTGGAACTCACTGTGTAGACCAGGCTGGCTTGGAACTCACAGAGATCCGCCTGCCTCCCAAGTACTGGGATTAAAGGCGTGTGCCCCCACGCCCAGCCCAGGTTGGACTCTTAAATGCACCCTGAAGGCCTGTATGCTGAAGGCTTAGTAGCCTAGACTGTCATGCTATTGGGAGTGATGGAACCTTCTGGAGTTGGGGCCTGGTGGAGCGAAGTTAGGTCATTTGGGGCATGACCTGGAAGGGAACATTAGCACCGTGGCCCCATCCTGACTATTTACCGGCCACCAAGGAAGCAGCATCCTCTGCTACCCCTTCCTACCACGACGCCCTGCCTCGCCACAGCCCCAAAGCAACGGGGGTAAGACAAGTCTCTGAAGCCATGAGCCAAAATAAACCTTTCCTCCTTATAAATTGATTGTCTCAAGTTTTTTGTTACAACAGAAAGTTGACTAACACAGCATTTAAGGCAAGAAGCATAAGGGGCAATTGCTTTCTTCTCTTCTCTCTCCTTATTAAAATATTCACCACATGACTGCACCATAATAAGCTATTCTGAGCACTAAGCCAGGAATCCTCGCTGACCACGTCCTCATTGGCCCTCAAGTGGGAGTAGGGCAGTAGGCAGGTGAGTTTCTAAGTCAGGCTCCTGAGGCGTGGGGACAGCATGCAGCATGGCTCTGCACAGGCTTGGCGGGCCAAGGTTCCCTTACCCCTTGGCAAACATCTCCACTGCAGACACATGCAGCTGCTCCCGAGGTGTCAGCGGCTGGGCTCTGGAAACCTCCACCATCGTCTTCACAGCCCGGTCCAGCTCTTTGTCCAGCTTCACAGAGCTTCCGGTGCCAACGAGTACGAGGCCATTAGAGATGGCATGGCCCATGGCTGCCAGGAGGATGGGAAACAGCTGTGGCTGAGCCCAGCCTGGCTGGGGCCCCTTCTGTGAAACAGGCATCCCAACAAAACCTGCCAGGCTGGGTGCAGGTTCACTGAGGAGGGGCCCCACCAAACCCCAGGCTCAGCCCTGGCCTTCGGTGGGCAGTGGAGGAGCAGAACCCTCTAAGGATCCAAGTACCCATGGCTGTTTTTCTAACAGGGCGTTCTGGTAAGCCCTGATGTCTGCAGTAATTCCCTCTGCCCTTATGAGGCTGACAGAGGCTGCGTGGGGGCTCATGGGCTGGAAACATCCCAATAGCCAGCCGAGGCCTCCTGGGGGTGCTCAGTGGATGCTCTTCAGGGAAGCGCGTCGACAAGATACAGACGTGTGATCCTGACTCGCCAACCTAACATGCTGATGGTGGGCTGGGTGGTCCTTGCAGAAGGTATGAGATCCCAGGTTCTACCGAGGCTTCCCACAGCCATCTTTAGAGAGGCTGGGTGTTTCCTGCTGTGTGGAACTCAGTCACTGGTCCTGGCTTGGAACCAAACACCCAAGCACAGTACTAAGACACCTCCTTCTCCTGGCATGGGGCCCTGCTCCTAGCCTGAGCCCATGCTGGCCACTAGCTGGCCCTGTGGCTACACTTCCTGATTCTTTGGCCGTTCTGTCCTCCCAGGGCAGCTGAGGCCCCTGGCTTTGGCTGGGCCAGGCTGCAGCAGGAGCTGCCCCGCCTCCATTCTCCTCTTCTCGGTTGTCTAGCCTTGGAACCTCTCCTCACACTTGGCCTCTCACTCAGAGCTCTAGAATGTGTTGGGCTGACTTCCCCCAGCCTGAGACTTGCAAGACTTGCCCTTGTGCCAGGCTGCCCCTCCCCTACTCCTGCCCTCAGCCCTAGTGGCTCTGAGGAGCCTCCCTAGTCCCCTGACAGAGGCTTCAGAAGTTGTCCCCTTGCTTCTTGGGCCTGTGCTTTAGATCCAGACATTTCTGGGCATGTGTCTTTACCCTCACCGAACCTGTTTCCACATCTGAGAAATGGAGTCAGTGTCTTAGGTAGAACTGAGGGCAATGAGAGACAAGATCTGGAGTCTTCTATGTAACTGTGTCCCCATAGGAGCAGCCGTTGCTTGAAACACAGAGGGAGCTGTCATGGTCCCTCCTCTGAGTCAGTGTCAGCCCAGCACTGCCCTCAACCTGCCCTCCCCAGCCCTACAGAGTGCCTGCAGTCAGGGGAGGAGAGGCTTTGGGTGTGTGTGCTGGGCTCTTCCACCCAGGGAGAGGTCTACTCACCAAAAGTAGGATCCGCTGCTTTGAGCTTTGCGAGGCAGCCCTCTAGGCCACCAAGACTCGAGTCATTGGTCCATGTCACAAACTGAAATAAGAAATGTGAAACACATCTGTCCTGCAGAGCCCTGAGATCATATTAAGGAAGGCATGTATCTAAATGCAGATCGGGGAGGAGGAGCTGCCAAAGAGCCTCTTCCTCTGAGCCATGCTCCCAGGCCTGGATAGTTTTTCTTTCTGGAATACTGAGCATTTTATGGACTCCAAATCAAAGAGAGTTGCTGTAATTATAGGCCAGCCTGGGCTACTGTGTGAGACACAAAAAGACCAAAGTTGTTGGTCACTGTAGAGTTAGAGACTCGAAGACTGAAAGGTAAATTTACTTTAATATCATCTTGTGTTTGATAGACTGGTATTTCTATTTCAAATCTTTTTTAAATGCTGATGGTTGCTGCTGAATCAAGGAATGTGGTGTGTGGGGTCAACAAGGTGCAGGCAGGGCAGGTGGGCTGGTGTTAGATGCAGAGCAGACAAGCAGGTCCAAAGACCCGGTGAAGTTACTCAGCAAGGCAGGTGGGGCTCAAAAGGGCCAAGGCACAGCCAACTCTGACACCCCCCACCCCTACTTGAGCTCCCAAGTTCAGGAACTTCAGGATCCTTCACAGGTATGGAAGTGCCTGGAAATGCATAGAAGGTCTTGGCCTGGCTAAAGCCAGGTGAGCCCCAGGATCTCACGTACTTATGGCCAAGCCCCCAGCAAACCCTCAGTAAGCCACAACAAGACACCAGCAAAGTCTCAGCACTCTGAGCCCCTCTTGGGGCATTCACTGTTGTCCACCCTACACTGATGACCTTGGGAAGGGGACTGCTGGGGATGGGCAGAGGGGGAGCTGTCTCTCAGCAGGCATACCTGGGTCAAGGTGGCATCAAACAACTTGCAGGCTTCATTACTTGTGGTGGAGAGTGGGAGACCAGCATCCTTCCAGGCCTGCACAGCAGGAAAGGAATACCAGAGCCTTATTCTGATGAGCCCCAAACCCTTGGTTGCCCCTCTGTAAACTGGTTCTAAGATGACCAGTTCCAGTCTCCAGGAGAGGATGGAAGACTGGCCCCTAGAGGAGGGGACTAGTGTGCTAAGATGTAACTCGAAGGATGTCAGGCTTGTCCCCTGGCTGGCAAGGTGGGTACCACCTGCCAAAGCCAAACCCCTCCTCTCAGCTTCCACTGTGTGGGAGGAATCAGACCAAGCCTGTAGGTAGGAAACCTGACACCTTCAGATTGTAATGGCTGCCCTCCATGACCTGCCAGGGCAGGGGCACTGTGCCCATGACTCCCTGGGTCAGAGGACATGCCCTTTAGTCCTGGATAGAAAGGGGCCCACGTCTTTCAGGCCCTGGAAATGAGGTGGCTGCAGACCAGCTGCCTCACCCTTCTGATTTCATCTTATTTGCAAAATGGGCTCAAGGTCCCAGTGTTGGGTGGCTTCAAAGGAGACTGTTAGGGTTCAGATCTATAGCAGCCCCCTCCCCAGTGTGACAGGGCCTCATGGTTTTGCAAGCCTTCTGAAAATACAGTAACTGAGTTAACGAGCACCCTGTTTGCAGACAAGATAAATGGACTCCCTACACCTATGACCCAAGCAAGACCGGATCGCTGTAAGAGCTGTTTCAGCACAGCCTGCTCCCCCTTTGATAATTTTAAAAGAAAAGCAGGCCCCTTATCCCGTGAACCAGATCCTGCCTGACCATAGGGGGTAGTTTGACAGAGACTGTTCTCTCCTGATAAGCCCTAGGCTTTCTCTCTCCTGCCTAACTTGTTTAAAAATGTTTTCCCGCCTTCCGCATCCCCCAAACCCTCTATAAAGCCCCCAGCCAACAGCCTGAAAACTGAGAGCTCCTCCATCCCAAATGAGGCCATTACTTGTGGTGGAGAGTGGGAGACCAGCATCCTTCCAGGCCTGCACAGCAGGAAAGGAATACCAGAGCCTTATTCTGATGAGCCCCAAACCCTTGGTTGCCCCTCTGTAAACTGGTTCTAAGATGACCAGTTCCAGTCTCCAGGAGAGGATGGAAGACTGGCCCCTAGAGGAGGGGACTAGTGTGCTAAGATGTAACTCGAAGGATGTCAGGCTTGTCCCCTGGCTGGCAAGGTGGGTACCACCTGCCAAAGCCAAACCCCTCCTCTCAGCTTCCACTGTGTGGGAGGAATCAGACCAAGCCTGTAGGTAGGAAACCTGACACCTTCAGATTGTAATGGCTGCCCTCCATGACCTGCCAGGGCAGGGGCACTGTGCCCATGACTCCCTGGGTCAGAGGACATGCCCTTTAGTCCTGGATAGAAAGGGGCCCACGTCTTTCAGGCCCTGGAAATGAGGTGGCTGCAGACCAGCTGCCTCACCCTTCTGATTTCATCTTATTTGCAAAATGGGCTCAAGGTCCCAGTGTTGGGTGGCTTCAAAGGAGACTGTTAGGGTTCAGATCTATAGCAGCCCCCTCCCCAGTGTGACAGGGCCTCATGGTTTTGCAAGCCTTCTGAAAATACAGTAACTGAGTTAACGAGCACCCTGTTTGCAGACAAGATAAATGGACTCCCTACACCTATGACCCAAGCAAGACCGGATCGCTGTAAGAGCTGTTTCAGCACAGCCTGCTCCCCCTTTGATAATTTTAAAAGAAAAGCAGGCCCCTTATCCCGTGAACCAGATCCTGCCTGACCATAGGGGGTAGTTTGACAGAGACTGTTCTCTCCTGATAAGCCCTAGGCTTTCTCTCTCCTGCCTAACTTGTTTAAAAATGTTTTCCCGCCTTCCGCATCCCCCAAACCCTCTATAAAGCCCCCAGCCAACAGCCTGAAAACTGAGAGCTCCTCCATCCCAAATGAGGCGACTGCCCCTTGCATTTTCTCTGCCAATAAACTCTGTTCCAGTTCTTGTCTGTGTCCTGGTGCTTTCTCCCGATTTGACTTGATTTACCTATCAGAGACATTCCCTGGCCTTAAGCCCAGTGAACAGGTTTTGGAGGTCCTGGGGGCTCCCTGTAACCCTGACAAGCCCTGCTGGTGTCCCTTGGTGGGGACCGCTCCATAGCCCCTCTAAGTGCTGCTGAGGATACACAGGTCCCCTTCTAGCTCCACCACACAGGGTCAAGAGGGGTGAGGGGGACCCAGTTGAGGGGGGTGCGTACCTGGCAGTCTCGCAGTGACATTGTTGCAGCTTTGCTTTGCAGGGTGAGGACCACTTGGGCAGCAGTCACCAGTGTACCTGCAGCCTTTAAGAGAGGAGAGGGAGTGCTGAGTGTGGACCAAGGAATGGGGCAGGGCGGGGCTGGCAGGGGTGGTATAGAGTCAAGCTCACTCACTAGTGGTTTGGGACCCACGTGCTTTGCACAGGAACCTGGCCCACACCCAGGTCCCACAAGATACCTGGGTTTCTGAGTTCCCACCCCAGGCTCCATGCAGTAAGACCAGCATCCTCCCCTGCTCTGGGCTCCTGAACTCCACCTGCTGGGACGTGAACCTTGGCACCTACTTTGCCATATGATGAAGCCTGTGGAGGTGGAGGTGGGCCAGAGCAGAACCAAGGCCGGGTGCCCAGGTTCTAGCCTGTCCCTTACTTGGGCCCCATTTTGGGGGCCTGAGCCCCTCAGGAGATATGGGAAGCCCAGGGACATTGGTCATTTTCCCTCCCTTTGCTGGGGATTGAGCCCCGAGCCTCATGCACGGTAGTCAAGATGTAGCTGAGCTACATCTCCCAATTTTGTTCTTTCATTTTCTTCCGGTTTTGAGACACTGAACGGCCCAAACTGGTCTTGAGTTAGGGCTTACAGTGGAATGGCTCTCCCCTCCCCTAAAGATCCCTCCTCCCTGCAGGACACTGTCCGGGCTGTACTCTGCCATCAACCACAGATCTGCTCCTGCCCTGGGGGCTCTCCCCTCATATAACCTCACCTGCTTCCTCCCAGGGTAGGGAAGCCAGGTAAGCTGTGCAGGTACAGGGTCGGCTCCTGCCTGTATTTAAAATGTTGATAAATGTGGCCAAAGAGATGGCTCAGTGGTTAAGAGATCACAGTGCTCTTCAGAGGATCTGAGTTTGTTTCCAGGCACCCTGGTCCAGCAGCTCACACCCCCTGGAATCCAGCTGCATTCTTCCATCCCCCTCCTCATGCAGGTGCTATTCATTCATCTGCGACCCTGGGCATTATCTGCTGCTCACCATCACCTTTCTTGTTATCCTGTCAGCCCATGGCAGGTGCTCAGTAATGAGCTAATAACTCATTAATAAGTTAGTAACTCCCTGTTGCTTAACCAGTGTCTCCATTCCTCTTTCTCCTGGCTTCTTTTTTTAAAATCATTGACCCGTCCCTGGTAGGTTCACTCCTCCTTCAGTCAGTAAAATTCTGCTTCATTAAAGCATGCATTCAGCAGATTTTACTGGCAAACATTGAGCATAAGCCACTGGGTATCACAGAATACACAGACACTCCCTGACCAAAGATCGCAGCAGAGAATGGGGCAATATCAAGGGCAGGTGCCGAGGGCTGTGGGGCAAAGAGAAGGCACTGTCACCAGCCCACTGTGGAGGAAAGGCTTCCTGGAGGAGGGACCAGGGCTCCTGCTTCCCAGGCCAAGTCATGTGCTTAGAATCAACCAGAAGATCTTAAAAAGATCACCAGGAGACTCCCACTTGGTGCACATGCCTAGATCCTGGGTAGAGAGACAGGACCTCTTGAAAATTACGGCAGTTATACAACTTCTTGACTTGTGGGCCCACCCAGTCCAAATGAAAGGAAAAGCCTATCTTCCCACACCCAACCCATGCCTGGCACCTAGGACATGCTCAGAGGTGCCCATACAAGTGAGCATTCAAAGAAATCAATTGGCCTGTTTTAATCCCTGGAATCTGCCCAGGCCCAAGCAAACCTCAGGGTTTGGAGGTCTTGACACCCTTGAGGAGATGCCTGCCAGTCCCAACCTAACAAGTAGGAAGGAACCTGAGAGGCATCTTTGCCCTTGAACTTCCCCTCCAGAGGCTGGAAGCTGCAAGACCACATCAGCACATTCAGGAGGGATGTCCCGTCAAGGAAACAGGAGACAGGCTCAGACCTCTCACTGCCACTTGCCAGTGCTTTGGTATTTGCTATTGCAGAGCAGCCCGGAGCTCAGTCCTCAGACCATTCAGACCAGAGTTGGCCAAGGAAGACACATACCCCAGGCCTCACTCCCACGCACAGTTCAAACAGAAGCCCCAATTGTCCCCCCCCAAACTCCCTGGGAGGCAGGAGCTGTCCCTCCACTCATCTTTGAAGAGGGTGGCAGGTGCTGCCATCTGGCACTGACAGCTAATGAGGTAGGGTCCCCTCTCCCCAGAAGGACAGGACTCTGCTGGCTGGGACCTCAGAGCTCACTGGTACTCTCCCCTGAAAAATGAGACTCAGGACCTGTCTGGAATATCAGGAAAACTAAATGGTGTCAAGTAGGGTGGAGCAGTCAGGTGGGGAAGCTCTGAGATGGTCAGGCTGATCAGAGGCTGGTCAGATAGAGGCTGGTCAGACAGCTCAGAAGTTGGTCAGGCTGATCAGAGGCTGGTCAGATAGAGGCTGGTCAGACAGCTCAGAAGTTGGTCAGGCTGATCAGAGGCTGGTCAGATAGAGGCTGGTCAGGCAGCTCAAAAGCTTGTCATGAAGCTCAGAGGATGGCCAGATAGAAAATGATCAGACAGCTCATAGGATGGTGAGGAAGGTCAGTAAATGGTCAGAGGATGGTTAGGCTGCTCCAAGGAGAGTCAGAGAGCTCAGAGGATGATTAGGAAGGTCAAAGGCTGGTCAGATAGAGGATGGTCAGACAGCTCAGAGGGTGGTCAGGCTGTTCAGAGGATGGGCAGATAGAAAATGATCAGACAGCTCATAGGATGGTGAGGAAGGTCAGTAAATGGTCAGAGGATGGTTAGGCTGCTCCAAGGAGAGTCAGAGAGCTCAGAGGATGATTAGGAAGGTCAAAGGCTGGTCAGATAGAGGATGGTCAGACAGCTCAGAGGGTGGTCAGGCTGTTCAGAGGATGGGCAGATAGGTAATGCTCAGGCAGCTCGGAGGATGGTGAGATAGAGAATGGTCTGGCTTCTCAGAGGATGGTTAGACAGGCCATTCGAGGGTCAGGAAGTTCAGAGGATTGTGAGGCAGCTCAGAGGTTGATGGGATAGAGGATGGTCAGGCTGCTCAAAGGATGGTCAGACAGCTCAGAGGATGATCAAGCAGCTCAGAAGCTGGTCAGATAGAGGATGGTCAGGCTACTCAGAAAATGGTCAGAGCTCAAAGGATGGTCACTAAGGTAGAGGATATGAAGGAAGCTTGGAGGATGGCCAGGCAGCTCAGAGGATACTGAGAGGGTGGTCAGATAGCTCAGAGGATAATCAGACGGAGGATGGTCAGACAGGGGAGGGTCAGATCCAGGATGGTCAGGTAGAGGAGGGTCAGATCCAGGATGGTCAGGTAGAGGACAGTCAGATCCAGGAGGGTCAGACAGGGGAGGGTCAGTTCCAGGATGGTCAGGTAGAGGACAGTCAGATCCAGGATGGTCAGGTAGAGGACAGTCAGATCCAGGATGGTCAGACAGGGGAGGGTCAGGTCCAGGATGGTCAGGTAGAGGACAGTCAGATCCAGGATGGTCAGGTAGAGGACGGTCAGGTAGAGGACGGTCAGATCCAGGGGGTCAGGCTGTTCAGAAGGAGGTGTCCTTCCCACTACTCTCCAGCTGTGCATCCCGAATTCCCAGGCGTATCTGGCAGCTCCCTCTGCAGTCTCGGCCCTGCCCCTGGCCGTCTGCTGGCTGTGCTGGCCCTCCTGGACCTTCCCTTCTCCATCCTTGGGCTCTGCGTCTCAGTTCACTGAAGAAGAGTGATGACTACAGTCCCAGGCGCCAGCACCTCCCAGCCCCTAGTATCAGTCAGGAGCCTTGGGCAGCAAGGAAAAGAAGGCCGATTCCAAGGGTTGATTGTCCAAGGAGGTGCAGGGGTGGACTGGGTGGGGTCAGGGAGGTCATGATGCTTGGTTGTTGGGTATGCACCTCTTCCAGGTGTTGCTCAGCCTTAGGGAGGCTGGCTTTGTTGGGCTCAAGCTTCCAGTCACCTACCAGTGACCAGTTCAGTGTCCCGAACTGCAAAGGCCAAGCTTTCCTTACTCAGGACCCAAGGGGAGAGGCAGGGCCATCGTGGCAGGCACACCCTCAGTCCAAGAGTCAAGAGCTCCTGCTTCCACTCCTCTGACCTCTAAGTGTTGGATGGCTGCGACCCTGGGCGTTATCTGCTGGGGCAGGGAAAGCTCACCGTCACCTCTCTTGTTATCCTGTCAGCCCATGGCAGGTGCTCAGTAATGAGCTAATAGCTCGTTAATAAGTTAGTAACTCCCTGTTGCTTAACCAGTGTCTCCATTCCTCTTTCTCCTGGCTTCTTTTTTTCAAATCATTGACCCGTCCCTGGTAGGTTCACTCCTCCTTCAGTCAGTAAAATTCTGCTTCATTAAAGCATGCATTCAGCAGATTTTACTGGCAAACATTGAGCATAAGCCACTGGGTATCACAGAATACACAGACACTCCCTGACCAAAGATCGCAGCAGAGAATGGGGCAATATCAAGGGCAGGTGCCGAGGGCTGTGGGGCAAAGAGAAGGCACTGTCACCAGCCCACTGTGGAGTAAAGGCTTCCTGGAGGGACCAGGGCTCCTGCTTCCCAGGCCAAGTCATGTTCTGTGCTTAGAATCAGTTAAAAAGATCACTGGAGGGGGTGGGGGGGTTGGTGGACAGATGCCTGAGCGGTTAAGAGCACTGATTGCTCTTGCAGAGGACCCCGATTCGATTCCCAGCACCCATGTGGCAGCAACAAACTGTCCTTAACTTCAGTTCCTGGGGAATCTAGAGCCTTCTTCTGACCTCTGTGTCATTGCATGACACGGGTGCACTCATATACATGCAGGCAACACTCATACACATAAAATAAAATAAAGATGGTCACCAGGAGACTCCCACTTGGTACACATGCGTAGCTCCTAGGTAGAGAGACAGGACCTCTTGAAATCTTATGGTAATTATATAAATTTTTGACTTGTGGGCCCACCCAGCACAAACGAAAGGAAAAGCCTATCTTTCCACACCCAGCCTATGTCCTAGGACATGCTCACAGGTAGTGAGTGCCCTGGGAGCCTGCTGTGGCACAGAAGAGTGGGGCAGAAAGCAATCCTGGAGACGGACCAGGCCGTGGGCCAGAGGCAAGTCAGGAAAAACATGCCCATGTGGAGGAGGAAGGCCACCACAGCTAGAGGGCAGGGAGGGGACAGCCCCAAGGAGGGCACCAGCCTCTCAGTATCGGGCATGCATCAAGTTGGGATCAGGGAACACAGACAGTGTGGCCAGAGTGCTCAGGCCATGGAAAAGGGCTGGCCAGGCCCTTGGGGTCTGGTCAGCCCTGTCCCCCATGTGCCAGCTCTAAAGACAGTGAGCGTCACCCCATCCTCCTCCTTCTCTCCCTGAGGCCACTCCATGGTCCCAATCAGCTCAGGACCTTGATCATGCCCACAGGCCTCTACTTCCCCAGCAATCTTTGGATCCATTCCTTTCACAGTCAGATTCCTCAGGCTGACCCCAGTTCTACAATCACAGGGAAAACATTGGCACGTGCTGGGTGCTGGGGGGCTCCCGGGGGAGGCTGTGGGTGTCTGAGTTGCCTGCAGCCCCTGGAGGACTAAGCCACACCTGCAAGTCCCTTCCCCAGGCTTCAGCAGAACTCCAGGTTCAGCCTGGACTGTCCAGCACACGGCCACCCACAGAACTCACACCTTCCACTGGGCTTTGGAGTGCTGCATGAACTCAAGTCCATTCTTGACCTCTGCTCTCATCTTGTGCACGTAAGCAATGGTGTGTACTGACCACGCGTCCGTAGGCTGAACAGATAAAGCCTGCGTGGGGAGGCAGAGGGGAGGAAGGAGAAAAAGGGATTAGTCAAGCTCCCTGGGCCAGGCAAGAGCAAGGGCAGGGACTGGGATCTAACTCAGAGTACTTACAATCCCACACCCGCCTCACTTCCTACATGCCTAGGGCCAGTGTGTGTCATGCCCACCACAGCAGGCTGCTGAGGAGGCCCAC